CCCCACCTCCACCTCCACCTCCACCTCCACCTGCCGGCTGGGCTGGGGGAGTGGGTTTCAGGAGGCTGATGTTGGTGGCAGGGGTGAAAGGCAGGAGGTGGGAGGGGCCCGCAGGACTGAAGAGGGCGGTGGACACTTCCTGGGGACTTCCTCTCCCCTCCCTCCCTCCCTCCCTCACCCCTGCTCCTCAGAGTCCAGCCCTGAACTAGGTCTCAGAGCAGCTCCGTCCATGGGGTCCTCTCCTGGGGGCCGGGCCTGAGCGCTGTGGTTTGCATGTTACAATGGCTATTTGTTGAGCTGAACTGCATTTTAACGAGAAACTCAGGCAGCGTCAGAACGCAAACACTGCCCGTTTCATCCCCAAACACGTGGGGCTGGAGACGCACCAGAAGCCCAGCCGCTCGCGTGGACCGTTCACCAAGGGGGAAATGCCGCAGGGAGGCCGCTCCCGTTCACAGCAAGACAGGAAACGCACACGGAGGACGAGAGGCCGCTGTTCGTCCTCGGGAACAGAAGGGACCGAGAAAATCTCGCCCCGTGCCGGCCCGGCGCCCGGGGAGGCCACTCCTCTGTTGCTGAGGGGAGGGGAGTCATTGGGTCCCACGTTCGTTCACATGAATTAAGAACAAAAAGGCAGCATTTTTCTCTCTCGAGAACCTCCTGTGAGAAAACGACTCCAGGTGCAGCTGGAGAAACCAATGTGTGTAAATATGTTGACCACACAGGCGTCCATAACAGCCAACTAATCAGGAGAAACACCGCACACCTTCTACGGCCAAGGGATGGAGCGCAGCGCGGGCTACAGGGTCTCCCCCGGGAAGAGCTGGCAGCCATTAAAAATGGTGTCCGGGAGCCCGGCCGGCCGGGCTCAGGGGCTGAGCGTCGACCTATGAACCAGGAGGTCAGGGTTCGATTCCCGGTCAGGGCACAGGCCAGGTTGGGGGCTCGATCCCCAGTGTGGGGCGTGCAGGAGGCGGCCGATCCGTGATTCTCTCTCATTGATGTTTCTCTCTCTCTCCCTCTCCCTTCCTCTCTGAAATCAATAAAAACGTATTTTTTAAAAAGGGTGAAAGGCAATAAAATGTAATAAGGTGTTAGCAATGCTTGTCTGTGGACGAGGGATCTGAGGGTATGTATTTGATATGTATTTTCTTTCAACTTCTCTGCATTTGGAAACATTTCAATAACGAAATGTTCAATAATGTGTCACTGGTGCTCTAGCTGGTTTGGCGCAGTGAATAGAGCATCGGCCTGCGGACTGAAGGGTCCTGGGTTTGATTCCCCATCAGGGCACAGGCCTGGGTTGTGGGCTTGTTCCCTACTGTGGGGTGTGCCGGAGGCAGCCGACCCATGATTCCCTCTCATCAGTGATGTTTCTCTCTCTCTCTCTCCCTTCCTCCCTGAAATCAATAAAAATATATTTTTAAAAAATGAGCTGTGGTGCCTGTTGGGTGTGGCTGCGCGCCTTGGCCCCACCTATCCCTCCTGGTCGACAGGACGGGTGCTCTAAGCACCTGGGCTGCAGGGCCTCTGCCTCCCCACCCCCCCCCTTCGGTGTGGCTGTGCCACGCCCCCTGGCGGAGGCCCAGATACCCCCACCTCAAAGGCCCAGAGGTTTCAAATGCAAATGCTTCTCCCGAGAAAGCAGTAAGAGAGGCAGTCCATCCCGATAACTGCTCTGGCGGAGCCGGCGACTCACCGCGTGGTAATGGTTGGCGGTGACCCGGATCAGCCAGGACTCGGGGAAGAAGTTCAGGTGCCTCAGCACGTCCAGGTCTTGGCCTGGAGGGAACGCAGAGGGAGCGTGTTAATGGGTTTGCTCATGGGAGAGTCGCCACCGTCTCATCTACAGAGAAAAGGGCAGAAGTCAGAGCAGAGGCCCTCCCCAGGCCCGGACTCACGGGGTGAGCCCCTCCCCAAAGCGTCCCCCATCCCGCCCAAGGGGGGAGCCCCTCCCCAAAGCGTCCCCCATCCCCAAAGCGTCCCCCATCCCGCCCGAGGTGGGGAGCCCCTCCCCAAAGCGTCCCCCATCCCGCCCCGAGGGGGCGGGGGCTGAGATCCGATAGTGCCTTCCGAGCGCCTCGGAGCCACTTGGACCAAACTGCCTGGGCTCCCTCTCCCGCCCCGGGTTCGAGAGCCGTGGGTTTTATCTGGGTAACCGGACGTGGCTGTGAAAACGTCCTCAGCAGCCCGGCCGGTGTGGCTCAATGGTTGAGTGTCGACCCAGGAACCAAGAGGTCATCTGTCTGATTCCTGGTCAGGGCACAGGCCCTGGTTGCAGGCTCGATGCCCAGTAGGGCAGGCAGTCGGTTGATGTTTCTCTCTCATCGATGTTTCTATCTGTCTCTCTCTCTCCCTTCCTCTCTCTCTAAAGATCAATAAAAGCATTTAAGAAAAGAAAGAAAAAGTCCTCAAATGCCCTTTCAGACACAAAGATCTCGCTGGGTGGCCTGCTGGGCCGCCCCAAACACACTCCCCGGGGTGGTGTCTCCTCCTCTGTCCCAGTCCCGGCTGCCCCCGAGCCCAGCCTGAGGTTGGGGAGCTCCAGGCTGGACCACACACGCCCCAGAGTTTCCCCCCAAACTCGGACGCGGGCACCCAAAGGGGCCGCCGCCAGGAGGCCGGGCTCGGGGAGGCCGTCGGTGGCCCTGGCAGCTTGTGCTCCAGCTCCATCAGCCCCTTCCGTCCGCCTCCAAGTTCCTGGAAGCTCCGCTGTGACCATTGTACAGACAGATAAACTGAGCCCAGGCAGCCACTCCCCAAAGGCTCCCACGGCTCAGGAGTGACCATGAGGGATCTCAGCGGACACCTTTGGAACCGTCGGCCGGGCAGATCCCCAACAGCCTCCCACGGACGCACTCCATGTCCTCAGAAGCTCGGCTGGTGGCTCAGTGGTTAGAGCACAGCCCTGCACCCTGGGTGGCTCAGTGGTTAGAGCGCCCCCGCCCCCGCGGACTCACCTCTGATGATGCCGTGCAGACGCAGGCAGAGGAAGAGCTCCATGAAGCCGTACTCCATGTCCTGGTCCAGGAAGCAGGTCGTCTTGGGGAAGCTGGCGGCGCAGAGAGAACAAAGGCCTCAGAGAGCTGCTCTCAGGAGCGAGCGAGGCAGCCAGAGCCAGCGGTGCCTGGCTCTCGGGGGGGGGGGGGGGGGGGGTAGGGAAGCGGGAATCCGAGGAGATAACCTTGTGAAGGCCGCAGGCCATGACAGCGAGACAGATGGCTCTGTTCCCCGCTCCGCCTCCTGCTGAGCCGCGCGCATAGCAGGTGCCCAGCAAACACTTGCTAAGTGACCAACGCGCATAGTAGGTGCCCAGCAAACACTTGCTAAGTGACCGACGGGAACACACAAGTCACTTTACAGAGGATTTCGAGACTCACGTTCCCACTGAGCCTCCCAGGCTCCCGGGACAGACGGAGGGCGGGTCTCATCGGCTCCACTTTACGGGCGAAAACAGCGGCTCAGCCAGGACTTGGACTTGGGGCGTCTGAGGCCCTCCCGGCACGGGGCCCTTTGACTGGGGGGCCGGCGGAGGCCCTTCCTACGCGCTTTTGGGTAGAACCGAAAAGGACCCATGGCCGGCGTGGCTCATACGAAGGGTCTCAGGTTCAATTCCCGGCCAAGGGCAGGTCAAGGCCACACACCTGGGTTGCAGGTTCCATCCCCGGCCCCAGTCGGGGTGCCTTTGGGAGGCAACCGATCCCTCTCCCTCTCTCTCTCTCCCTCCCTCCCTCCCTCC